CGCAAAAATATTCGCCATACCTGCATCTCTATTTAATACTACATGATATTTTTTGTGTTTTATTATTTCTAACCATTCACGAATATTATTACCTATTATACTTTTAGGTTGAGCCAATATTACAGTTTTTTCCCATCATATTTTGTGTTGTGTTTCCTGTACATGTTCTGCTATGGATGAATTTTCAGTATCTTATTTTTTACATATCCTTTATGTTCATTTAAGCGGTATTTTAAATTACGTTTTGTCTGACCAATGTAAATACTTCCACAATCACATTCTATTTTATATATTCCATTTATTCAAGTTAAATGTATCTCGTCTTTCATAGTACCTAAGATTTGATTCATCTTATTTAGCAGTTTAAATATAGGGTAGAATATCTGTTGTTTTTTGAACACTTTAAATAAACTAATGGTTAAACCTGGAACATGTGATAAGATTAAGCCTTCCTTTTTAATTTTTTCATAACTAGGTTTTAAAGTACTAACTTGATCAAAATACTAAATATAATTATGATTAGTCACATTCAACTATTAGTCGTACTAATCGTATCCATGATAGTGGAACAAGAGTGTGATATATGTAGCATAATAAGTTTGAGTATTTTAAAGTTGTTATAGAAATAATAAAAGAGGGGTAAATATTTCAGTAGCACGTATCACTTGTATTTTAATTTATGGAACAAAATATAGGCTTCAGATTTTGAAGAACTTTAAATTGTAGACGTATTAAGACTATTATAGTACTTCAAATGTCTGTTAGAACAAAATTCCAAAGACATTTTGAGATATTGACTTCGTAATTATAGAGTGTTCTTACTACATTAGGAAAAGTTATATTCACAGTTTCCAATTATCGAGCTATTATTCAAACACGCGTACATATTTTAATTTACATACTAGTGTAAAAGAGTGACAACAGACTGAGGCTACAATTTCCAGTTAAATTTGAAACTACATTTATAAAATATGTATGTGTTCTAACAGATATGCTTTTCAAGATTTCAGAAAAATTGACACAAATACTTTACTTGAAAACAAAAACAACTCGGAACACTTCAAACAATTCTATTAATTGACGTGAATCAAGCTGGCTGGGTGTATAGAACGGAACTTTATGATCAACAATAATAAATGTAATTATCACACGAAATGAAAGTTTTTGTCTTGTTTTTTCAAAATAGTGTCTCACAAAAATTTTAGAACTTTCCCAATATAGAAAAATTACACATATATAAAATGCTTTTTCAACCGAAACTAGATAATATTTGGTATCTTTTTTTTTTTAGGATTCATGCAATTTTGTTAACTAAATTATACTTTCACTGCGAGAAGGAAACAAGTCAAGAAATATCCCTGACAGGAAAGGGAAAATATTTTCAGGAACGAAAATAAAGTTTAAAAACAAGCTCCCCAAATCTATGATTTATTCCCGAGTCTTCTAAACTACCAATTAGTTCTTCTTGTTTCTTTTCTGCAAGAGCTTGGTCATTTCACTTTCCCAAAAATGACGTCTGTGCTATTTACCGGCTCTTGTATTTACTTCAGAGTAGCCAGTTGGGGCCTACTAACTGGGAGCTAAAGGTTACAGATCTACGGAACATGTTTCTTCCCAAACTTGAACCTAGATCATCAAACAAAAAAGAGAGACGGGAAATAAATGCACAACCCACAAAAATCTTTATTCGACATAAACATAACACAAAAGAAAATAATAATACTGCAAGTATGTCTTGCGGATGCTAGAACTAGTAAGAGATGCGAGAAAAATATTTAACAGAGCAAACTGAAAACTACTGACGTCATTATAGAGTGAATAAAGTCTGTAACTGAATTGTCATATATGCCTTGGATAAAATTACTTTTATTTAGTATTCTATTGTAATTTTTTAACTTGGTCAGTAATGTGCTACTGGCATCAGCGCATGTTGTGAAAGTATAAAATTGTATACTCAAACAAGTATTATATTTAGCTATAAAATAATTGTGAAATAGGTTTGGTTTGAAATGTCCAATGTTTCTTTGTTCGGTAGTTCGGTTATCGTTTCAACTTAAGTAAATTATTTACAAATTTATCTATAATTTGACTACTGATTTTACATATTATTATTATCATGTGTACAAGTCTCGTGTAAACGAACACCATATTGTGTTTCCATATCAACGACAATAGATTGGTTGATTATCTGTAGCAATGTGAAGTGAATATAGTAAGCGAGTGTTGATTT